TTAGATGCATTACAATAAATATAATTTTAATTTGGGACAAGAATATTTTAACTGCTAATATAAGACATTTGTTCAAAGTAAAGGATTGGAAAGTAGGAGCTTGCTCATATTGGCCCCTTTTTCCGGGATGTATTTTTGGAGTATAACGACGGACTCCTTTTACTAGGAGTTGTGATTTCCTTAAACTCGCAATTTTAGCGGTCCATTGAGTCCAAGGCAGTAGCAGCGGAAGGTAACTATGTGTCCTTGATCTTGTACTTGTACTTGACGCTGTGACTAATTCAATCAATCAATAATAATCAATAAGTAATTCAAATAATCAATAAATCAAATAACAAAACGCAAATCTGTTCATACGTGGAACACTGGCTGGTGATGCAAAATAATACCTAACGGAATTGAAATCAGTAGAGATGTAAAAAAGGCTTATTGGTGACACTAATTTTGTTGAAAGCAATCTCGTCGGCCTATAGCACAGGTGCAGAGTAACCAACATTTCGGTGTTATACTCGTATAATAGGTCTTTACTTATGAAATTGCCTTTTTTAGAAATAAAATAACGTATTTTTTCTATATTTTTTATTAATCTAATAAATTACCCATGCAATTGATGCATCTTTGCCAACCCAGTGGTAGTTTATTTTTTGAAGAAATAAGCTGGATGGGAGGCAACAAATTCTTCAAAAGAATTTTGTACCGCCTCTTGAGTATTTGCTTTTTTACCGCCAAAATGTTATCCAAAAACTGGAAAAAGTATAAGTCAGTAGGCGCAAGGTCTAGTGAGTACGGGGAATGACGGAGAGCTTCTAACCCCACCTCTTGTAACTTGGAGACCACCTGTTGTGCAGTATGAGGTTGCGCGTTATCTCGCAGGAGAAGCAGAGACGAGCGATTGACCAAAGCTGGCGTGCGAGCTCTTCAGTTCTTCACATTACACATCTACAGTGAAGAAAATGACGAATCACACCGGTGCTAGACCACCAAACACTGACCAACACTTTTCTCCGGGTGAGTTTTCGTTAAGGACATTGCTTAGGTACTGAGCGCCTGCGATTGTAAAACAGAATCCATTTTTTGTCGTAGTTAACAATGGTACAATTTTTTTTTCGTTTGTGTGCCTGTTGAGCAGCGCAAGGCACGTCCAGACGCGTACTTCGTGCTGGCGATTAGTGAGTTCGAGGGGCACCCATTATTCAATCATTTATATCTTGCCATTTTGACTCAAATGGACCAACATGGTTTTGAGTTTAAGGTCGAAATCTGTTGGTAATTCGATTAAAGATTTAGATTGAGTATCATAAGCTTTCACAGTCGTCTTCAATTTTTCATTGTCGGTCAAATTTCATTTTTCAATTCCAGAACGGAATCGGGGAAACTAGTAACAGGTGGTGCGTCGTTTGTAGTATTCACTCCCTAAAAGTCGTTGATGATGCCGCTTGTGCCGAGTTGCTGCCACAAAGGTACTCATATTCCATAATTACTCGAATTCCGAACGTAAAGTATCCATGATTACGAAAAAGATTCAAATGCGATGAAAACTTAACGCTTATCAATAAGCAAATGACTAATTTTGAAAAGCAGTTCCATGATCATCATCATCATCATCATCACAGCCCTTCACAAGTCCACTGCTGAACATAGGCCTCCCCCAAGTAATGCCACAAAGCACGGTCCTGAGCCACCTGCATCCATCGACTTCCTGCATATCTTACCAGGTCGTCACTCCATCTAGTGGGGGGTCGCCCTACACTACGCCTACCGGTACGAGGCTGCCACTCGAGAACCTTTCTTCCCCATCGGTTATCGGTTCTTCGAGCTATATGGCCGGCCCATTGCCACTTCAGCTTACTAATCCGTTGGGCTATGTCGGTCAATCTGGTTTTACTGCGGATATCCTCATTTCTGAGTCTATCACGCAGAGAAACTCCGAGCATAGCCCTCTCCATAGCTCGCTGAGCGACCTTGAGCGTCCTCATACGGCCAGCAGTGAAGGACCACGTCTCTGATCCGTAAGTCATCACTGGCAACACGCACTGGTTGTACACTTTAGTTTTCAGAGATTGAGGTATACCTGACGAGAAGATATGTCGTAATTTCCCGAACGCTGCCCAGCCGAGTTGAATCCGTCGATTGACCTCTCGGTCGAAGTTGGACTTACCTAGTCGGACTATTTGTCCCAGGTAAACGTACTCGTCAACAACTTCGAGCATAGTGCTCCCAACAACTACCGGCATAGGTGTGACATGGACATTAAACATAATCTTTGTTTTGTCCATGTTCATCTTAAGACCTATCCGTTGGGAGGCACTATTGAGGTCATTGAGCATAGTGCTTAAGTCCTCCAGCGATTCTGCCATAAGGACTATATCGTCGGCAAATCGAAGGTGAGTGATGTACTCGCCATTGATGTTAATACCGTATCCTTTCCAGTCCAGTAGCTTGAAAACGTCTTCCAAAGCAGCGGTGAAGAGTTTCGGGGATATAACGTCACCCTGTCTTACACCTCTCTGCAGTTGGATAGGTTTCGAGCTCTGGTTCTGTACTCGGATAGCCATCGTAGCCCTACTGTACAAACACTTCAGCACTTCAATATACCGACAGTCAACTTGGCACCGCTGAAGGGACTGCAGTACCGCCCAAATTTCGACGGAATCAAAGGCTTTCTCATAGTCCACATACGCCAGGCAAAGTGGCAAATTGTACTCTTCAGTCTTCTGTACAATCTGCCGCAGGGTATGTATGTGGTCTATGGTACTGAAGCCTTTTCGGAAACCGGCTTGTTCGGGAGGCTGGAAGTCGTCGAGTCTGCGTGCGAGACGATTCGTAATGACTCTCGAAAACAGCACGTAGACGCGGCTCAGAAGGGAAATCGGTCTGTAGTTCTTCAAGAGAGCGTTGTCGCCTTTCTTAAAGAACAAGACCACCGCACTTCTGCTCCACGCCTCTGGAGTAGTGCCACCATGGAGGACGGAATTGAAGAGCTTCTGAAGGACTTCAAGTACCGGTGTTCCACCCGCTTTCAGAAGCTCCGCTGTAATTCCATCCTCGCCTGGGGCCCTGCCGTTTTTAAGGTGCTGGAGAGCCATTCTAATCTCGCTTAGACTGACGTCCGGGATATCATCGGAATAGTGTCGGATAAGACTTGCTCTTGGATCGTTACTCACACTTGCGTGTGGCTCCAACGATGATGTGTACAGCTGCCCATAGAACCTCTCAATCTCACTCAAAATCTCAGGTGTCCCGGAAACGATGCTGCCACACTCAGTCTTCAGCCTTGACAGTTGGCTCTTTCTGGCAGATAGATCTCTGGCAAAGACTTTGGAGCCCTGGTTCCGCTCGATCGCTTCTTTAATACGAGCAGTATTAAAGTTGCGCAAGTCTCGCCGCATGCATTTGGAGATCTGTCTGTTCAGTTGCCTGTATGCTGTCAAATCTGTTGACGATTGCAGCCTCATCTCCCGTCTAACAGCCATGAGATTAAGAGTGTGATCGGAGAGTTTTTGTGTTCTTCTGCGGCGGGTCTTGCAGAACTTAGCTCCGACCGCATGGACAGTTTCCACGAGCTTGTCATTCATATCGTCCACTGCATTGCAATCTTGTAGGCACTGAAAGCGGTTGTGTAACTCGAGCTGAAAGTTTTCGGGATTTTGGATCAGAGCACGAGGGGGACGGAGCGTTGACTTCATTAGACGAGACCTCTCCAACTTAACGTTTAGGTTCAGTGTGCCTCTAACCATTCGGTGATCGCTGCCAGTTTTCACCCTTGCGATCACTGAGACATCACTGAACAGTTGGCGTCTGGTCGTCATAATGAAGTCAATCTCATTTTTTGTCGAACCGTCGGGGCTCGACCAGGTCCACTTCCTGTGGGGCCGCTTCTGGAAGAAAGAGTTCATCATAAAGAGTCCCTCTTTCTCCATAAAGTCGGCCAGCTGCTGGCCCCTTCGGTTCCGTTTCCCTACTCCAAATTTCCCTAACTTCAGCTCACCGCTTTCTCTTGTGCCTAGTTTTGCGTTGAAGTCTCCCATCAACACCGTGTAGTGGGTTTTGGAGGAATGTATGGCTTTGGAAATATCCTCATACATTTCCTCCACCTCCTCATCGGAATGTGCCGACGTTGGTGCGTAAACCTGTATGACCTTCAGCGAATACCGTTTGGTGATTCTGAGTATCAGGTACGCGACCCTCGTCGACACACTCTCAATCTGTACAACGTTGTTGACGAGAGACTTGTGGACGATAAATCCGACACCTCCTTGGGACAGATGGTCGCCCTCCCGGTGATAGAACAAGTTGCCGGATTCGAGAATCACCGTGTCCTCCCCCTCTCTTCGGACCTCGGATAATCCTATAATACTCCAGCGCAACTTGTCTATCTCTTCTTCCAGCTCCAGGATCTTCTCGTCAGTCCTCAGTGTGCGTGCGTTAAATGTTGCCAGGTCGAGTCGTCGTAGGTGGCAACCGAACCTCCACCGGAGATTCTTAGCACCCCCAGTTCCATGATATTAAAACAAAATTAATTCTAAATTAGAATTCTTAGCCAAACAAAAATTATTATGATTTGAAGTGGCCATTACTGCAGAATAGCATTTTCATACGTAAATACCTATCAGAATACAATACCGAGAGTGTGCGTAGGCATTTCATGATTTAATTTCTACTTCCCCTGTCAACTGTTACACAACTAGAGTGTCTGTGGGTCTCCACCCTATTCTTTCAATATTTAACACATTTGACTTTCAACGGTTCGCTTCGTATTTTGTAATGCGTACAGCAAGGAAGTCTTATTTTCCGGCATCGTCTTTCCATCTGATGACAATCTGAAGATCCAGAGAAAGCAAGAGTGAATAGGTTTTTGTTACAGTACAACAGTACGATTTACCATCTACGTTTTCATTGTCGCTTGTAATAAGATCGTGTTTGTGGTTAAGCACTGACATAACTAGTAAAAAAATTACATACCTGTATACCATAATGACAAAATTCGGATCATTTATAAATTATTGGAATGCTTTAATGTGGTCTGGTCCTTTTCCACTTTTGTATAGCTCCCACATTTTGCTATATAGTGATTCCAACCCACTTGCGTAGTATTTACAATCAAACAACGTACTACACAAACGAGCCTGTGAAACCTTCGCTCGAATATATCTTCGACTGAAAATGAGAGCTCTTTTTATATTTATGCCTTCTATTTTTACAATTTTCAGTCTGTATTTTAATATCACTGAAACGCAGGAACGCTTCTACAACATTCATTTATGAATAAAATGTCCAATAATAAATATAGAACATATTCATGTTATATCATGACATAAACATTTAGATACTTCAAAAGATGATCCTAATAACGTGCTTCAAAATAATAACATAAAATTTACAAACTGTACACATCCCACAGCTGGGCACAAGCTTCCTCTTATTGAGAAAAAAGTTTGCCACACTGCTTCAGTGCGTAATGGAGAACTTCACATGACCACGTAATACATATTTAATATCTCAAACATGCAGTTTTCCTCACGCTTTTATTCTTCAACGCAAAGCAGGTGCTATGATTTTCCACGCACTTTTACTTGTATTAAAATTGCAATTAACAATTTTATTAGAAATAATACTAGTTTTTACGGAATTTATCGCGTATATTTAACTTTTTAATTACCCGACGTTTCGAACGCTTTACAGCACTCATGGTCACGGGCAGGACTGAGATGTTCAACGTCCATAATATGTCATAGTTAACCGCGGTTACCATAGATTAAAATTTAACTTTTGTTCCGATCTATGCAGTATTTTAATCTATGGTAACCGCGGTTAACTATGACATATAGACGTTGAACATCTCAGTCCTGCCCGTGACCATGAGTGCTGTAAAGCGTTCGAAACGTCGGGTAATTAAAAAGTTAAATATACGCGATAAATTCCGTAAAAACTAGTATTATTTCAATGTGTAGTGTTCGCGTAATTATAAGAAATTTTATTAGAGCTTGCTAATAGCAAGCGTTTAATCCTTGAGCCTAAAAATGATAAATAACCGAAATACAAACATCAACAAAGCTTTAAATGTATACCTAATTTAAACGAAATTGAATTTAAACTTAAACCTGGCACGTTTTGTTTCTGTCTTCTAAATTCTTCCAGAGAGTAATTTGTATGTAAATAAATATTAATTACATTACAAAGAACATCGGTCAAGTACGACCTGACCAAAATATGAAACAACCACCAATGACTGATACGTCAAAAATAATGACTTTGGTGTATATTAAATTACGGGGTTCAGCTAATTTTATTGGAGCCGATAAATTAATTTAGCATTGTAATAAAAACCTCATTTCCTTACTACGTTTTATGGGTTTTGAACGCATCTAAACCCGTCCCGTTTTTATCTATATTTCGTCATAACACTAAGTAACGCTACCATTATGCGTTTACTTATTTAAATACTAGATTTTATTGCAGATTTTTTATTTATTTTTGTAATGTGTTTTATCAATAATATCACTCTAAGATGGGAATATGGATTAAGTATTCCGAAATGAGTTGCGAATGATCAATGGTTTTAGCTGAGGTTGTAGTCATGACTGCAGACTTATTAAATCATAACCTTAAGTGACGAAATACACAAGTGTAACATTCTGTGATCCTCAGCTTTTTAACAATATATTTTCAATTTAGAATTAAGATTGTGCGTAGGGGAACTGACTAATCCATACACTAGTCATTTTCGTGATAGTATATAGCCAGGTTACAGCATAATATATGAGCTGTGACCGATGTTCCTTGTTAAATAATTTAATACCAGCGGTTTTTTCTGTACCATGGAATACCATAATTTAACTAGGGAGAAGATATTGAGAGAAATAGGCGTTCTATAGTGGGCGCGATACAGTGAAATGTTGAGCATGTCAGTTGCACCAGCAACGGATCATGATTGTAGTGTATGTGGAGAGATGGCTGAGCGGCTCACTAGAAAAAGTCTGGTAACCACCGTAAGATAGGACTATTTTTACAAATGAAGGCAGTCTAATGTAGAAGTTAGGCAATTAGTTTTGTAGATACAGTCGGTATACTACATCTTACATACTGCACGAAGTCAAAGTTCATGCTTGTATTTAATATTGTATTCAGATCCCAGTCCTACAATGAAGCATTCGCGAACGAATATTAAAATGGACAAACTATCATGTGGCTTGGAACGATCGTTCATGGTCTGCTAATCTCAAATGTGTAGCAGTTCAGCTTTCATCCAGATTCATAAAAATATATTTGGCGTAATGGCAATCACCCACAAAATTCCCACAATTTCCATCAATATAAAGTTTCCAGGAAATTACGCCTCGGAGGAAAAACAAACCGCGTTTGGGTAGATAGCCATTTAAGATGCAATAAAGATGAAATATCGTGATGAGGTGCTGGCCTAAGCCTGTAGCTCGACCACACCGATTGCAAATTTAACAACAAAAACGATTTTATGCTTATGCATAATAATACTCGTCCACTTTTGGCTCGAGTAGTGACTCAGTGGCTGCAACAAGATTATGTGACGTATTTCAGCAGGCGTGCTTGAATGTAAGATTTTACGAAATTTTCGCAAAAACGAGGTTTCAGAACGTAAACTTCTCCCGCATCTTCGTCGAACTTAGAATATATTAGTAACATCATTTCAAAGTATTAATAATAACTGCAGATGTACTAATTGCATCCAATTTGCTATAAAAATATAAGTTCTATATAAATTTAACTTCATTTAAAATTATTGCATTGTTTAATTATCAAAAACTAGAAAATCTTATTTTAGTACACTAACTTTTTTATTTTACTATATAAGCGATTTTACAGAAATAAAAAATCTTTATATAATTTTTAGTTAAAGTAAAAAAGACTGCGTTTTTTCCTGTATATTTCAACAACAAAATTTTCCCTAGAATTTATTGATGTGTATACCAATAAAATCTAACGAAAATTTTGTTTACATATAGTATTATGTTAAATTAGGGTATTTGCGAAAAATGGAAGCAAAATGAATTTATATGTATTTTTATGTGTTAAATGAATTTATTTGTATTTAAAGAAACCATAAATAACTTACTAATCTATATTTGTGCCCAATTTTACAGCTATATTTACGTAAGACTCCATATCTTTGGCTATAAGTTCTGGACATTTCAAAGTATTTAAAAGCGAAGCAGCAACCCTAAAAATAATATGGGTTTTAATATAATTATTATATATTTAATATAATCTATAATTATAAAATGTTAACATAAGCCAACATATATGATTGCTTCGCTGAGGAGATATTTGTTATATTTGTCCCGTATGACAGGTGGGATAGCAAACACAAATTTTATTATTATTGCGGAGTTGTTATCAGGAAGATGCTGCTGTCAATCTCATGTTTCTATTCCTTTATGTCGCCTCTTAAGATACCCAGTAGATGACGCATATATATATATACTCTTTTCAACAGATGTAGATTAAAGAATCTCTGCCTAATACATATTTTTAATTCTAAATAGTCAAACATTTTCATTATATCTACAAGTCTAGCACAATACGAAGACATGAAAAAGTAAGCAAATGTGAACTCTTTTAGCTCCTCTACACGATGGGCCAACGCTGGCCCAGCGAGATGGCCATGCGATGGTTGAAACGCATCTACACGATGGCGACATTCAGTTGTGATCGAAACGTTTTTCGAGATGGACGTGGAAGAATTAGCCGCTGCGGCAATATATTTATACAACATGTCATTTTTATTGTCTTTTTTTAATGTGCACAAGAATAGAGTTATCTAAAAGAAATGGCGTAGAAAATGATGGTTATCTTCTATCCATCGCAATAGAACTAAATATGTCCTGAATAAATTTAGTTTTCTTTAAACAAAAATAATTAAATAATTATAACTAATTATTAGTAATTTAATAAATAATTATTAAAAATAAATAAATATAAAATAAAATATGTATGTATATGTTCTGATTTTAGTAGATGTATGATTAAAATTTTATAACTTCATTAAGTGGCCACATATTCGTCATTTTTAATTAGTTAATTAATAAACAAAGCACAAACGTCCACACGCAACCGTCGAGCGCATGAAACTGTGAAATGGGCCACGTGTAGATGCGTACCACCATCGCTGGCCCACTGCCTTTGATGTTTGGCGGAAAAACCGACACCGTCGCCATCCCCGAGACCCACTACGAGACACAACTACGCTCTCGACACGCTGGCCCATCATAGTGGGCCATCGCGTTGGCCCAACGTGTAGAGGGGCTATTTTATCATGTGGCAATGTCAACTTACACTTCTCTCCCAAGAACAACATATTTGAAAGGTCGGAAAAAATAATACCTACAATATATTCTATACTGCTGTAAAAACAGAAAATATTATTTTCATTTAAAATACCTTGATGCTAAAGTTTCTCCCGGCAATGTTATTATAGGTGTACCTGCCCAAAGAATATCCATAGCAGTTGTATGCCCATTGCAGAGAGGTGTATCTAAACAAATATCAGCCAATTGACCTCTTCGTACATGCTCCTCCTTACAAGCTATTTTTGAAAATATCACACGACTGGGTGGCAACCCTATAAAATTAAAATGTCCATTTGATGATATCATTTGATATTTTATCGGAATAAATTTTCAAAAACTTGAGGTGTAGTAAGCTTACCTAAGCTCTGAACATATTTTAATACGTTGGGTTCTCCAGCTGCTGGAAAACTTAATAACCAAAGAATACTATTTGGCACCATTTTAAGTATACAGACCCATGTTTCTAGTAATTTAGGATCCATCTTGTATAACTGATTAAAATTGCAATATACTACCGCATCACTTGGAAGTCCATATTGCTTTCTCGATGTAAATATTATACTATCTACAGACACTTCTCCGGATGCTATTTTCTTATTACTACAGTTTATTGATAAACCGTTATAAATAACAGTGTCATTCACAATTACCTAAAATATTGTTTTATTTAATTTCATAATTTAACCGCAAGTAAAATAAATATATCTCTTGTTAATTACCTGCTTTATTTCAGGATTTATTGTCATTTCTAATACACGTTTCGGAATGCATAATTCACTTTCAATTATATATATTGGCTGTAAATTCTCAAAATATATTTGTTTTTCCTTATTCTTAATACAAAAATTTTGAACATTTATGTTTTCAGGCAAGTTTACTATTGCTACATTAGTATTTTCGTTAATAATTTCATTATTATCAAAAACTTTATATTGTTTTGACAAATGAGGAAACATTTGCCTATGGTCACCAATAAAGTAGGTGTGTGGCATGTAGGCAAATTTTTCGCTAAAATCGTGTCGAGTTGCCATAGGACAAGATGTTTTGTCAGTTACTACGTAATCTATATATGATGCTCCGCTAGTTCCCGGGTACCCCAACCACAAAACTTGAATAGGCGCCGGCTTAAGAGCAAATATTTCATTTCTGGCCCCCCTTTGTATATCCATTCATATTTATTAAAATGTGAATATTATCACTATTAATTTTTCTTGCTGCTTCCATACTACATGTTACTAGTGATAGATCAATGAAGTGTTCTGATTCTTTAATAATCTTTTTACGGAATGTGGTTCCATCGTCTGGATTTAGAGCGTAGCAAAATATTTCAAATTTAGAATGATCATGGAGTCCCGGTATAGCTTGCATTAAATGTGATGTAGGATGATTACCAAAATCACTACTTACATAACCTATACGCAGTCTGCCTTTATCAGTTAAGCTGTATTGGAAACTAACTTTGCTTAAAGTATTTACTTTTTCCGTGTATAGATTTGCATGTCGTGAAGCAATTTCTCTTCTTGCTTTATTTGACAATGGATACAGGATGGAATGATGAGGATGTACGGAACATAATTTATCTGAATGGAGTTGATCTTCAACGATTCTTACAATATTTTGCATTCGTTTGTCGTACCCCTCCCAGTTACATATGGTTTGAAAGCAATGTGCTAAATTACAGTAAGCGTCAGGAAAATCGGGATTTATTCTTAAAGCGTTTTCATAACTTGTAATAGCTTCCGATAAATTACCTATATCCTTTTGAATACTCGCTAAATTGCAATGAGCGTCAGCGAACATTGGATTCAAATCAATAGCTTTCTTAAAACATAATAAGGCACCAGTCACATCCTGTAACTCTCGTAAAGTGTTTCCCATATTGCTATAAGCATCAGCAAATTCTGGTTGAATATTTATAGCTTGTCTATAATGTATTAACGCTTCGTGAAGTTTCCCTGTAATATATGGATTATATACAATACGAGACAAAAAAAAAACAAGAAATATGGATAGCATTTGCAACTTTTCTTACTACGATACTAAAAATTGCTAAAGGTTTTAATAACTGCTACAAACAAAATTTTCAAAATCACTGATGAACTACTTCTAAGTATTTACTATATTTCTATAATATTATGAATAATGTCAAAAATTGTCTCAAGAATTTAAAAATAAATCAAGATGTTACTTATTCCGTTATTAATTCCATTACAGCCTAGTAAAGCCCACCGCTGAACGTAGGCCTCTCCCATAGATTGCCTCTTAGGGCGGGGGGTTTATCACGTAAAACGAAGTATAGTACAGTATAGTAGAATAATAGCGTATCACATAATAAATTATATAATTATATGTATAGAAGTTTACCTTGTTGTTGCAGTAAAGATGCCACATTACTGTGCGTTGCTGCAAAATTAGGAAAAACTTCTAATGCTCTCATGTATAAAACCATAGCTTCATTAATCTTGCCTTGCTCCCTTTTAACATTACCAAGATTATTCAGAGTATCAACGTGAGTCGGACATAGACGTAAAGCTGAATTGTAACAATCCTCTGCTTCAGCGACAAGGCCTTTCTCTTTTAGTGCATTACCGAGATTACAGTAAGCGTCAGGAAAATTTGGTTGTAGTTCAATTGCTCTTTTATATGTGTCTATAGCAAGGTCTATTCGACCCTGTTTGTAGTAAAGACAAGCCAAATTTCCGTATATAATTGCATTGCCCGGCGTTAGTTTAAGAGATTGAAGATAAACTGCTACCGCTCTGAAAAAAGGAATTATTTATGTTGAATTAAATAATAATTACACAACTTTACCTACGTATCATCTTTTGTTGATACAATATTTATAATAAAGTCATCATAACATAATATTTGTTGTGGCATAATAGAATCCATCACCACATTTCGCCCCGAAGCGCAGGTGCCGTATGATGTGGGTATAGGAAATACTGGAGTGTTCTGATAGTTTTTGATATCTTCGCGTTCTCAGCAGATGTATAATACCCACAACAGCAGCAAAGTAAACAGTGTGGAATGTCTGGAACTGCGTTAATTCTCCTGCTACGCGAGACAAATACTGTAAATCCTGCTTACAACGAAATAAGCCCGTGTCAAGTAGTAGACTTCTTCTTTCGGTCTAATAAAAAAGAAGTAAAAGAAAAGTGTAAGAATTTAGTTATTTTTAATTACATGAGGTTTATCCGGCCTTTTCCAAGCACGTGGTCATAGTTTTATCAAATCGTCAGTTTATTTTTACAAAATTCATAAGAAGAAGCACTTTGTGCCTTCATCTCCTTACCTTTCTGTTTGTTAGTCTGTCGGTCACAAACGATTTTGTTAGAGGTCATTTAAAATAAATGATTCACAAAGTGGCGAGTATGATAGGTTAATAGGTACCCAGATACACATATATGTTGAAATTTTTAAATAGTTATTCACATAGTCACGCTTACTGGCGATATTTGAGATATATAGGCTCATACTTTTTCACATTTGAATAATGTCATTTCCCAGATGTGAGAAGTTCCATCAAATGCTCTAAAAATATAAATGCTAGCTTTGTAAATGACTGTTAAATACTCTCCTTAAAAACTCTCATTACTGCAAACGTTTTGGGACAAGGAAAAGTCCGCCGCCGTATGCGTATTGGCGGTTTTCCAATGTCCACGAAATATTTTTTAACTTCTCAGACATCTCGATTTCCTTAGGATGCTCTATTAAGCATCGAACTCATGGTATATATGCACTTAAAATTTCAATTAACTATTTCTCCCTTACCGGAATCAAACATGGTTTTCTCGTCTACTACAACGCGCTTCTTAAGTGTTTAAATAAAATGCATAATGCATATATGATAAATGTTTAATTATATGTATGTTCTTGGTACAACATAATTGTACAGATCTATCTTGCACTTAACCTATTCTCTCTGGTTTCGATGATGTTGGTGCTGCTAGCATATGCGGCTCTTGCAGCTTCTAAAGCCTCAGCGCCCGGAATTTTAAAAAAAGTGAATTCATACATTCCGCATCGTTACTTTCATAACGCCGTTAGATAACTCTTACGTCTGCAGTACACATGTTATCTAACGGCCGTCCGACCAAGGAGTGGCAAGACCCAGCTCCGATGGCTAACTCGTGTCGTTCGATGTTCTGGGCGGCGAAAACCGCCCAGGGACGCGAGTGTACGGTATATACACGGTGTGGAGGGGTACACGGCGGGCTCTGCAGGCTCACTATGTCCCATCCGTTGTCCAATCAGTTTTTGTGAGTGAAGTGAGTGTGTAGTATCTATGTGCGTCGTGTTGGACATTTGTGTCGTCGGAATCTAGCGGAACTGGGGTTTCAATTAAAACGCTGCGGGGCCTTCGCTTAACGTTCCAGGGCTTTACTTAACGTTTTGAGTCGGAGCGTAGGTTGCTGCGATAACCACTATCGAGTTGGGAAGTGTCCCAGCGATCTCAATGTAGCGCCGAGACATTTCCTTGAAATATTCAGAGATCATCGGAAGTTGACAATCTCTGTGTAAATCCGAATTTCGGTGGTACCACCGAGCTCCGGTGGCGATGCGAATGAATCTATTTTGGACTACTTATAGGTCGTTCAAACGTTTATGAGCTACGCGTGCGAAGGCTACGCTTGCTTAGGATATGATAGATCTTACACAAGCTTTGTAAAGGTCGAGCTTGTGTCTAAGGGACAGTTTGCCCTTACTGTTAACTAGCGGGTGGAGTCGACTAGTGATGAATTTGACACGATTGCGGACGGCGCGAATGTGTTTCGCGAAGATCATGCAGTGGTCGAATGTAACCTCCTAGATATTTGGCGGTTGACTATCACGGGATCTGGCGGCTGAATAGGGTGATCATGCCTAGGGAATTTTTTGGGTTTAGGTTCCAACAATTGAGAGAGGATCTCCTTTGAAAGTTTATTGCTATACTTTTTTTAGGGTTCACTTCAAAACCATTCGCATAAGCGCTTGACTGCTCTTTGGAGCATCTTTGCGAGAAATGGTTTGCTGAAATATGCAAGGTAAAGTTCTGTGTCGTCGGCAAAGAGAGCGGTGTTGACTACTGGGTCCTTCGGGATGTCACTCGTGTAGAGTGAAGCCCTGAGGGACGCCAACACTGAGAGGGGGCGTCATCCCTCTTTCCGAAATCTGAAATGGTGGTTGGCAAGAAAGGATCTGATGATGTGAGTAGCCTATCAGGCACGTTGAGTTTGTACAGCTTGTAGAGCAAGCCGTCGTGCCAGACCTTGTCGAACGCTTTGGCGACATCGAAGAAGAAGACACCAGTGTTACGGATTCGACCGTTTCTCTTTCGTTCTTGAATGGGAGAAGCCTTCTGGGATTTATTCCGTAAGGCGGTGTATTTGATTGGTGCACGAGTGTTAGGGTCTGAAACTGAACTGTTCGTCAGGAAGAAGCTTGTTGGTAAGGACGTGTGTACGGAGGCGATTTAATATTAAACGTTCGTAAACTTTCCACAGTGTACTGAGAAGGTTAATGTGTCTATAGCTAGAGGCTAGGTTGCGCGGTTTCCCTGGTTTCAGGATTCCTATGACGTCTGATTCTTTCCATGCATCCGAGCAGGAGCAGCTGGAAAGAAGGACATTGAAAATACCTACTAGGAGGCAGACAAGCGGCGTTGAGAGAGATTTAAGCACCCTGTTACTAATGCCGTCAGGGCCAGGTGCTGATTTCTTTTTTGAGGTTTTTGATGGTTTCTGTGACTTTGTCAACAGTCATAGGATCTAAGGGGGATTTAACCGATTTCTTATGACCATACTATTTTAATCATTAGTTATTGGAATATTGTAACTATTGCAAGAAAAACTGTCTACATGGGTTTCATGTTGCTTTTTCTCACATGGTCACCTGCAGTAAGGAGTTGTTGAAGTGATAGCGTAGTTTCTTTACTTTCTACTTCATCATTAATTTGTTATGATGAATGACAAATATTTAAAAAAAATTATATTATAAAACCATCTATTAAATTAAGCGGATGAAGATGAAGTTTTATTTTGTTTTGTTTTTTATCACAAGCACATCAATTTATGCCTGAATCTGTATGTTCAGCAGCTCGTAAAATACGAACAAAAACGCTAAATTTTATATATTAGGTATTACAATTATTTACACAAACGATAGTAGAGTTTTTAGTACATTTTTCACTGATGTTTTTGACACTGAGTTTTTTATTAGTTTTTTTTTTAAACGTGAAAATAAATCTGGCCAAATCTCGTATATCGAGGCGAGAAAACAACTCTGTTGTAAGAAGACAAATACTAAAAACTAATTTTCATAACATATGGTTGTAGGATCGACCCGGGAAGAACCACGCTCTTACAGCACATCAGGAGGACTGTGTGCTCGTTTATCACCCTAATTCTATTGAAAGAAATTCCATAAAACCCTCTTATTAAAGAGACAGGCACGGGTCTCTTTAAGGAGTGGGACATATTATGGGATGTAACTATAAGCGGCCCACGAGTATGTCCAGTTAGGAAATATTTGTAGGCCATTACCAAATTTTTCTTTATATTTTATGTGTAATCTGGCAAAAGCTATTGATGTTTTAAATTCCCCACACTGTAGTTACTGCTTCTAGGATAAATCACAACAAATAGCGTACGTGAGTGTACTCGTAACATGGTCATCCGGTTAATATTGTCACTTTCTTATTATAAACTACAGCCTTATTTGCATAGATGATTCTGTGATACGACAAAATTCAAAGGGCGCTACTTTATTTACAGCATTTGGACAGTTAACATTATATGGTCATTAATTTCTTTTAATTTTTCGAAGTATTGCTATATATTGTCAAAGTTTGTTTGCAAAATTTTTCTTAATATATTAGTTATAGCACATTTTTTTGATTTTATAGGGCAACAAAGCTTAAAGTATATTAACCTCACGTACCTTAGCGTAATTCCATTATGTATTGGATAATGAAAGATTCTCGTCTCGTTTCTCTTATCCGATTAATACAAAATATAGGGTAATAACTTCTCATTCTCAATCATAAAACAACAATTTATTTATATTTAAAAAAAAACTTTACCAAGATACTAAAACGAAATAATGCAGTGATGTGTAAAATTATTTTTATTTTAAACATAAGTGACAAATGAACTTATAGTCTACCTGGTGGTAAGTGGGCACAGAAGTCCATTGACTATTACTTGTATGCTGTTACTGTTACCTTTAGTTATATCTATTTCTTTATTTTTATCTATATCTGTTTCCGATTAATATTCATATGACACATATAATGATTTTTTTTCTGTCAAAGAGAATAACTAAAATAGGAATAACATTCATATCAAGATAATTTTTATTTTAAATAAATATGTTAAATAATAAAATGGTAAATAAATAGTAGACCGTTAACGCTATTTTCCAAATAGCTCCATTAAGCTATCGTTGGCGTAAACATATTATTTTGATTAAATGTTATTAATTACAAAACGAAGTTTGTTTTTGTTAAATTTAATGTTAAAAATAGCAATTTATTTTACATTGTAATTTCAAATCGAAATGGTATTCATCAAGTACTACTAAAGTAATGATGTTATAAATTTTATATTATTGGATTAGCAGACATTCTAAACGAGCAATATTCAAGTTGGCTCATCTGATGCATCTCATCTATTGCTCTCGAGTTGAGTGCACAAGTTTTAAAAGCACTCCACCACTCGAGCTCTTTTAATACTTTTTACTTTTAAAATTAGTGTAATTTTTGTAATTAAACAATTTAAAAAATATAGTGGTCTATATTTTGAGATGCGTGATTGAAGCCATGCGTTTTTGAATGAAAGTAATAATTATCAATTTAAGTTCATTATTTTGAATCTAAATTACAGTTATTTTAATATTAATGCATAATCTGATTAAATAAACTGACCTTTTGAGCTTATTTTTGAACCAGGCAATACAGCCATTGGAGAGGCCGGCTGCTTGCGTTGCGAGTCGTGGCGGTGCGATGTTGATAACCGTGTACACGACGACGCATTGGTAATCCATGACACGGGCATATCCTCGAACCTTGCCGGTGGGTACTAAAAGCGGCGGGTGCGCAGGGCTCGCGGACAATCTCACCACGTCACGCAAGACGCGTTCGCGCGGCTTGCCAACTTCCCTGACGCGGCGCGTCTACGCAAACCACGACCTTCGCTGGCGCGTTTACTCTAAACTCAGATCTAAAGCTTATTACTAACACGATTAATTAACGACGTTGACACTACACATTGATCGACTAGTCCCGTTGAAGAAAATCACAGCGCGTAATGTGTTTTATGTAGAACTTAATTTTCATTATATTATATTTTACTAAAAAGTTAGTCTTCTTGACATTGTTTACAGTAATTGATTTACTAATAAATTAATAATATTTTTTGTAATCCGAGTGTGTTATATCTTCCTTCCATTATGTATCTGTGTAGTAAACAGCTTGGAAAAAACAATCAGGCTCCGCCTTTAACAAGGGGAATTGAAAGTGTCCTAAATAAAGGCGATAAATGTGTTGGGATATAGATGTAAGATATTACAATAATGTATGAAGGGATGTCACAGTAAAACTTTTTAAACGGCCATAAAATGTTTACGTTTGGTAATAAAAGCGTACATAATAAGCGGAGGTACAATAATATCGATTTGCGAGAATGAGTGGCATCGACGCAGCGCGACGTGGCGCCGAGACGAGTGCTCAGAGCGACTGCGGCCGCTGTGCTTTCCCACTGGAAACACGCACGTCTTTTTAATACACGGATACGACTATTTCAACATTTTTATAATATAAACTTCGCATTACTTTATCGTGCTTAATATTTAAGAAAATTAAAAAAAATCTTGCAACTTTTTCCATTCTTTTATCACCGTTTTTTTTTTATAATAAAATCCAATTGCAAATAATTTACTACGTTTACGGCTACGGTCCGCTCTCCAGCGTTTCTTCAGAAAAAACACCACCCATCGACATCAACACGGCAAAACTGTAAGGGTTCCTTGTATAACTACGGAACCCTAAAAAGGCCAAAGGTGGTTAAACTTTATTTGTGCTTTTCTTCTATTAATATGTACTTTTAGAAAATATTTAATAACCCTCATTCTACTTCATATGTTTTCTTGTATCGATTGCATGTATACATGTATGAGAAACGTAATCAAAATTAACTTAAAAAATCGCAGTGGTCTATTTTGATTCACATAAAAAAATATTAGTTTTTTACTATTATTTTATTAGGAATTTAATTTTATTATGTAACTTATAAACATTTTACTATAAACGGTACAATTATATAACATCGCATTTTAATATTTTTTTTATTTTAACCAATAATAAAATCAATCATAAACATAAAATATTGTACATTACGTTTAATTAAATGTGTTATATAATTTTCTTTAATAAATTACATTTTTATTAGTTTTTACAATAATTATTATGTTACTTGGCCAACAGAGCTTTGCTTGGCGTTAAAAAATACATTGTAGTCAGTCATTACATAAAATTAGAAAAGCTTGTAAAGTAGAACCTGACTGTAATGAACATTGTCTAAATACAAAGTTTCGTCTTAATTGCCAGAGCAGTTTCCGAGAAACCTTCTACAAATAAATTTTTTATATGAATTCATGAAGTAACTAATAGGTTTGATTCTATATCAGTAAAAAATGTTTTCTGTAAGAAACTGTTATCAAACAATTTTCATGCAAATAAAAACGCAACTCCGCAAAAAAATTATAATTTTGTTAGCTAGCTAGCAAAATTTAAATCTTGAGAAGGAAGAGTGTTGAGAAGATGAAGAAGCGCGTAAGTTAAGTTTGTTGCTTTGTGCGTGAAAACACACATAAAATGAACTTCACATAAATGAGTCTTTCTTGTTATATTGAATTTTCGTTTCCGTATGTCCCTAAATTGAAATTTCTTCGAAATTTTTGGTGTTGCGTTTACAAAGTAATTACTTCGATAAATATAATTACTTGAATCACTTTAATTTTACTGTGAGTCAATTTAAAATACTGTAATGGCGTTCGTGATTTTTGTAAGATAAGATAGCTAATTTAACGAGACCTGGTTGATACTACACACGAATTTGCTAAGTCCTCTGTAGATACATATGTTTATGTAAGTGACAGTAAGCTTAAATCAAGGAGACCGCGTTTTGAGTGGCTACCACACTCTTGCAAATTTCAGCCTAAAAATAGCAGTGCTTGGACTCCAGTGTTCTGGTCTGAAGTGTACAGAGAGAGGCTTTCAGGTATTCATCTTATTAGGTACTAAGACAACTCATCTGTAGTCTTCTTGTTTGAAGTTGGCTGCAGGTGTCCTTGGGCTATAGTAGCCGCTTACCAAAGTACATTTTGAATTTTCCTACTAATGTTTCGATAAAAACATTGTTATTATATTTCGTCAGAAGTAGATTTTTAGTCATTATAAACAGCTTAATACTACTATAAAACTTTAGTGGCTTGATTTGAGTCGTGTCCTTGACACAATTAATTATGACATCTTGAAAAAAAAACTTGCATGATCCTAGCACAAGAGTTGCGATTGGGGTTGTTGATCTCCTTTCGTGCTGCTATGCTAATCATACCAACAACGTTAGGTCGGGCTCTGTATCGGAGGGTTGAAAGTTTCGTGTGGTATGAGACAGGATAATTTTACCTTAGTTGTTCCGAGCTATTAAGCCTCTAAAGGTCTAACCAATAGGACTCACACTGGACGCCAGATATTATTTCAACAGCCTGAGCTACATGCATATGCTAATAATCTGATGTTGCTAAATTGAAATCTACAAAATATATGCAAAATAACATGATTTGAATTAAAACTCGAAAAACATAGAAATAGTAATTTCCAGATCGGAGTAGTAAGTAGTAAAGTTTTATTATATTTTACACTATTTAGATCCTACTACCAAGAGTTTTACACGTGCCATTTATGGATGCTAAGATAACACATGATGGTATACGAGATACCTATATTAACATCTTTAGACATTTAATGCAATTAAATCGCTATAATAGCGCTTTTAAATGTACTCGAACACCCAGGTAGACTCCTTTAATGCATTTCACTATAATGCTATTATTAGAAGTTAGGCGAATAGATAGATACCAACTACAATGTCGTGAATAAATACAACGATATCAAAAATATTGTTGAGCTTTATTATTATTTATTTACTTAAACTTTGTTGCACAAATAGGGCAAAGGTGGATTAAACGCTTATTTAATTATGTTTTAAAAATAACATGTATTATAATGACGCAATATTTTTTTTGCAAACTAAACCCAAATAACATACCGATACTACGCTAAATCGCGGTGAAAACGCACAATAAACGTTTTTTATCGTTGTTATAAACGAATTTTATTTACATCTTGCTACAATCGTCTTTGTAGCTAAATATGTTTGTAGTCGAATTCTAAATCTAATTTCATTTTACTTTAGCACCAACTCAATTATAGTTATTATTTTAGCTCTAAAACATTTATTTTGTAGTGTAGATAACCGTATTTACATAACACCATAACGCCATTGTGACCACTATTTTAATAACCATATTTATAGCCAAAACCAAATTAATAATTTTTATTTTACTCGAATAAATAGTTTTATGTTTTTATTAAAACATTAGTAATTAGTAATTACGCAGATATAGTTTTATAAATTAAATCAAAATTCTGACTAATTTCTAAAGTAACCATCAATGTCAACTTATTGCAAACATAATTAGGTCTTAGCTTGTATATTATTATCGTATTATTTAAATCATAAGTTCGGGTAGAGACAGTGCATGCATATCTACTAGCCCGTATTATCTCATGGGTGTCTGTGTAGTACGAACGATCAACCAGGATAGGACCACGCTCTCACAGAATACCAGCGTAAAATAGCAGCTTAATACCGCTGTGTTTCCTATGATGAGTGTAAAGAACCACAGACCTTTTTTACTGAAAACGAGGCATTCCATCTTAGTCCTCGGGGATGATGACGCTTAAGCATTTTGATTCTAAATCGAGGATAAATGTAGATTTCTATGGGTCACAGCTTCTACCTTCAATCAGGTTGACTGTGTGCTCGTTTGTCACCTTTAGTCAAGAAATAGCTAGAAAAAAAACTGCGGTTGTCAAACCGTCTACCAGTAGTGGCAACTGCAACAAATACCTTCCTATGATCAGTAGTGGACTTTGGTAGATTGTAGTGATACTATATAGGATACTGATGATGGAAATAGGTATATTTTCTGCAAACACTAAGATAAATATTGAAAAATAGTAAGATAAACATTATATTATTAATTTTTATACGTAATAAATTATGATTTTATACTTTATACCACTAGTTTTAAGTCACTTGTGTTTTTTTAGCTGAACTGAAGAAACATTATATACTTGATTAACCCAGCATAGTGACAGAGAGTAATAGTATAGGTACATAATTTCTTTTTCTGTGACAGCCACTTTACTTCATTAAATAAAAAATGCATGGGCGTGTGGGCCGCCAATCGTGGCAAGCATGGCATGTGACCTGATGAAGGTAGTTGATTACTTACTACCGTGGTTTTTTTATATCTTGTGCTTGATGTGGTGTCATGTTATACCGACCAAGGTAATTATATTCAAGTGTACCTGTCTTCTAAATTATTGAAGCCCAAATGCCGATTATAAATATGTCTACTGCGTCTACATAATATATTTAAATATACAAAATGGCATTATAAGTATTTATGACATATGGACATTGCACTGCTGGTGTCAGAACAATCTCTTTTCTGAGAGGGACAGGATAGGGATCTGAGAGCTGGAAATTGCATGTCTTGCACATATTTTTATTATTACTCAGATAAGCAGGTGCTCGGCGGTGAAGGAAAACGTCGCGTGAAAGCTTTATAATAATTACAAATACTAGGCTGCACTAAAAGTATCGGGAATTAAATATTTCTGCTGTTCCTGTCATATTAAAATCTTTTTAATTGAAAACTCCTTGGTTTCAAAAATCGAATACCATTTATTTATTTAAAAAAAATATTCTCGGTCTTGTCACAAGGTACTTGTGAAACCGAGAACAAGTTTCACAAATGAAACTTGTTTAGTCGTTGAGAAAATGGAATTGACTCTAGAAAATTCAAGAGCGATGATTTATTATGACTTTCGAAGTGGTTTAAACACAAAAACAGTGGGTTGACCGGATGATTTCTGCATTTTTTGATAAAGCCCCATCCAAAACCACAAGTTATTGCTGGTTTGTTGAATTTCAACGTGGACGTGTCAATCTCAGTGATGATCCCCGTCAAGGTCGTCCAAAAACTGCAGTCACCCAAGAAAACTTTGATGTGTGCGAAGCATTGAGGAAGATCGACATGTAATACCAATCCTTTGACATTGGCATCAAATACAAATAATCTTGCATGAACAATTAGGTGTAAAAAAGTTGTTTTCCCGATGGATACCGCATTTGCTCTGTGAAGAGCAAAAAGCGGCTCGCGTTACTTGGTGCCTCAGAACTCTCGAAAGATTCCACGCAGGATCCTCAAATTCTGTACACTATATTGTATCAGGTGACGAATCCAGGATATATGCGTACGAACCCGAAACCAAAAACCAGTCACGAGTTTGGGTGTTCTAAAATGAGTTAAAGCCAACAAAAATTGTTCGTTCACTGAGTGTTGCAAAAAAACGGTGGCCACGTTTGTCTCCAAAACCGGCCATGTTACAACTATTCCTCTTAAGGGACAAAGAACGTTTAATGCAGAATGGTATGCTAGTATTTGTTTGCCACAGGTCGTTTCTGAACTCCGTAAAGAGAACTGCAACCGCCGCATCATTTTCCATCACGACAATGCGAGTTCTCACACCGCACACAGAACAAAAGAGTTTTTAGAGCAAGAAAACATAGAATTATTAGAGTATCCGCCGTACAGTCCCGACCTAACCCCTAATGACTTCTGTACTTTCCTTAAAATAAAGAATAAATTTCGTGGACAGAGATTTTCATCACCTGAAGAAGCTGTGGACGCCTACAAAACGGCCATTTTGGAGACCCCAACTTCCGAATGGAATGGTTGCTTCAATGATTGGTTCCATCGTATGGAAAAATGTGTCAAATTTCGCTGATAATACTTCGAAAAGCAATAAATACATTTTTAAATAGTAATGTTGTGTCACTTCCTTGATTCCCGAAATTTTCAATGCCGCCTCGTATTGCACGAATTATAAGAGAGAAAAACGCTTCAAATTCACCAAGCGTTAATTTTTGATTGTTAAATGTGTCGATTGAAGCTGTATTTTAGCCTTAGCCTCTTTGAAGTCAAATGCTGGATGGTAGAAAAGAAAACCCTTTCAAGAATTCACTACATGCTTTGTACTGTAATGGGTTAAGAGGGATTATTTTTATAAAAAGTTTTTTACTTATTATATGCAAGTATTCGACTTCTGGTAAGTGTTGATGAAGTCCTAGTTGCTAAGTTACACTTCTTAAGCCTATTGGAAGTAATTCTTAAGCCTATTAAATACGTACTATACGTCTGACTATGGGCACGTGCCTCTTGTCACTTTAGAGCAAAACAAAACCGCCGTTAACCAAATCCGTGTTGGTGAAATTATTTACAACTTCAAGTTTCCGTAACTTATAAATCAATTAAAACATATTTCTTCAATTAGTAAATTCTGTGGTTTAAGCAAGGATTGAAATTCGTATTATGATCTTTATAACGATACCTTAGCCCTTAATCCCATATTTTTAATGTAAGAAGTATTCTTATAATACTTATTAATTTGTTTGTTAATTACTACGAAAGATTTTATATAAACATCACCTACATTTTAGAACCGACGGATAGGGAATTTTGCTTTTTCTATAAGAAAGTGGTATACTTCAAAATAAACTAGACTAGGCTAGACTTCAAAATACTTATATTTGTTACTTCGAAAACCATTATACATATTAAAAAACTTACTTTTTCTCAAAAATTAAGGATCCGTAAATCTACCGCAAGTTAAAAGACCTTCTTCACTCTTCTAAACTTTTACTAGTAGTCTATAAAAAGAAGATACACGTGCTAACTTGGAATGAAAAATTTAAATAAGCGCATTATATTTAAAATTGTTTTATGAAAAGCCATTGATATACAAATGTATATTTTAATATCAAATGCCTATTCGTTGGGTATATCTTAAGAGTTGTACAGTATGATATCGGTTTGGGCATACTGCCAAAACTCCCGAACATTAATTTTTAAAACTAAAATAATGCAACGGCTTGAAATTAGGTCAACGAACGGTCAAATGCCATAAATGTAATTGATTCGCTTAATCATCTGCGCCGGTACAAAATATATTAATAAAGAAGAGCCACAAGTCTTTAGAGTTATTAGTTCAGTAGCCACTCAAAGCCATTGTAAAACACTTTTCTTCATTGGTAACCAACTTGTACTCGTATCAGTCACACTAAAACATATTTTTATTCTAATGTATTTCACAACATTCGCTTTGATTTTTACTTTTTTGTTATAATTTAAGAAAGATTTATTTTAAGAAAACCTAGAATAACACACTGTTGATGTATATTATTGCTACAAGCTGCACATTATAGTTGACTTCGCTATTTCAATAAACAAACATTTCAAATATATATATATATATATATTTTGATTGTTACGAGTAACATATTGCGTAAATATTACAAGTAAAGTCAAATATAGTAAGACATAATAGAAATATCGTTCATACTCTTATCATCATCGTTATTGTATATAATAACGACGATGTATGTATATATATATATATATATATATATATATATATATATATATATATATATATATATATATATATATATATATATATATAGATGATATCTAATATGCAGCGAATATTCTCATTTCATTATCTATCCTACCCTCTCCATAGCTCACAAAGCGACGTTGAATTTCCTCATACGGCCAGCTTAACGACTAAGTCCCTGATCCATATGCCATCACTGCCAACACGCAATGATTTTCTTCATTTCTTTCTCTTCTTGTTTTTAAGTTTTGAGGTATACTTGACGAGATGTGTCGTTATCTTCCAAACCATGCTAAACCTAGTTGGATCCTTCAATGTACTTCTCGGTAGATGTTGGACTCGTCTGGTTGGATATTTTATTCTAAGTAAACACACACGTAAAAAAACATCGAGCGTTATGCTATGAACAACTACAGGCATAAGTGTGACCCCTCCCCCAGAACGAGTTCCACCTTGTCTGGGCGGGGGGCTTAGTAGCCGTGGCTTGGTCATCCGCGCCGAACTAAGAGGAACCCACATGGCTGGCCCGAGGTGAAGGGCCGGCCCGAGCTAACCACTCCAAGGTAGCTTGGCGAGCCCACTTCAGATGTGTGTTGATAGGCTGTGACGAGAGGGGTGTCTTCTATCCCTACCGCTACAGCAGAGGTAGTGTCGCGGAGGAGGAGGAGTGTATATATAGTATGATAGTATAGCGATGCACCACTGACTCTACTCTCTGCGACTCTGATGGGGCCGCACCGTTGATGCGGTGGTGGTGGGGCTGCAGTGGGACAGGAATGTTTGTATTCGAGGCGCTGCTCTCTCTACCCTCCGCAGCCGAATCTTGGCTTGCAGCGGAGCCATAGACCACACCCGTTTCTGGGACAAGAAGGCTAGTGCTTCTGAGTGCACATTTTTCCTGGCCCATATTACCTAAGAAGAGGGCCGCCATATTGCTGCCGGTGCTGGTGGGTACGTGTATGTGTGCGAAAGCATTCAAGTAACCTGCTTATACATATATGACGATGTTGGAACACCATAGGGCTTTAGTCGGTTCGAGTCCGACATAGCCCGTACTTGCCCCCGAAGGCGGGTATGCGTAGGCATTTCCCCAAGTTAAAAAAGGCATAGGTGAGACATATATGTTACACATGAACCTTATCATTGTTCTTGTTTTAAAAACTATCCGTGGGTTGGTAAGCGCACTTTTATGCAGCTAGAAAACCCTGCTGCCCATCTTCTGATTTGTTTCTCTTTGTCGACTTCTAGGATATGGAAACGACATGGGTTGATTTAGGACGGAAACAAAACGTCGTAACGCAGTGAGCGTTGAGAGGGCTATGCTCAGATTTTTTTTCGTGATAAAATTTGTAACGAATATACCCGAAGGAAAACAAGAGTAACTAGTAAACGGATCAGTAGATCTCAGTGGCAATATGTGATTCATATAGCTCGAGGCGACAATTGAGGGGGAAGACTGTTTCTCGGATAGCAGCCTCGTACTGACAAGCTCTGTGCTAGGCGATGAAGTGGCGTCCTGAAGCTGGTTGTCAATGGGTGAAGGTGGCTCAGCAACGTGCTTTTCGACAATCTATTAGAACGGCTTATGTTCAGCAGGGGGTTGTGTGATGGGTTGTAGGTAATGATAAAATTATTTTATATTTAATTTTATTAAACATTATGACATTTTTAGATGTAGACAACCAGTCTTTAATATAACACGGAAAAAGTCGATTAGGTAACCGGACAAAGCTGCAAGTCCTTGGCAATGTCTCTTGAATTTAATTATAACCTATGCGTATCTGTCAAAATCGTATGAAAGTTGGCAAGTGAACTACTGGGTACTGCGCTACAACTAATGTTTATATGAATCTGTAACATTTAGATCCCTCTTTTAGTGATTCATTTACTGACCAGTATAGGAAAAATATATTTAATGTCATGGTTTAATAGATGTGTTATATTTATTTTGTACGAGAAATTGAATCTAAGAGAAAACTTTCAGTATCATTACGTTATTTTAAAGATAATACATGGCCTAGTTAAATTAAAGACTAAGCATGATATTTTTGTAAACATGATACATATTATCTTCGTCTTCTCGATATTCGCCGTTATTTATCAGGATTTAGCTGTTACCTGCGACACGCACAGGACGAAATTATTAATGAATACTCTTATGCCCACCGCCCACCACAACAATATATGTTCGCTTTTTTTTGGGTACATCGGGAAGAATAACCCATATTTATGTTCATTTACTAAGCTCTTTCGAACGTATTTCCTTAACTGTACCGCTGACTCTCCATTGCTTGACGGATGGAGGATGCTGCAAACGAATCCAGAGGGAAAATCATCATCAAATTAACGAGCCCAAAACTTTTAGACATCAGCTGACCGATCACCAAAGAATCGAGGCATGTGAATTAGGACTTCTGCCGTTCTGTTGATGATACTTCAAACACAGAACAACGCCTGTCCTTCTTTAAATGACAAGACAAAATACAAACAGAAATACATTGTACACCAGTTGTGACATTTGCACTCTATCCTAGCCCGGTGGGGCGGCAATCTGACACGAATGGAAAAAGATTATGAACCCGCCTAGGACTCGAACTTGATACCACATGATCAGCACTCAAGCTTATGACCAGTGAACTAACAAGGCTTTAGCTCGCGGCCTTGCTTAGCTCGCGGCCTTGCAAGCCGCGAGCCCTGAGTCAGATGAAGCTGTAAGAGTCGTATAGACTCACAGCGCTAACATCCAGGAAATATAGACTAACGAGGCAGTCTAATACAAAAGCTTCTAAAATACTGTTGAAACTTATTAAGTATGAGAAGATTATATATGTAGGTATATTATAGTGATGCAACGTGTTACATAGCCACTGTGTCCACATTTACAAAAATGCTATGTATACTAAATAAATGTATCATACAAAATAGTATATATCGTAGTATTTATTGATAGATCAATGTTTCTATTCCGTTCACCTGTTACACCCTATTTTTTCCAGACGGTAAAAAAACCATCCGGATATATATATATATATATATATATATATATATATATATATATATATATATGTATATATATATATATAACAGTAACAGCGTTACCAACTTGAACTTAACTACTTAATCTCAACAATCTAATTAGGGTTTTCTCTCCTGCCTATTAGATATCACGAAAGTAACAAACGAACTTTTTAATTAAAATAAAAGGTCTAGGATCTTTTGTTAATGCAGCACACGATAGCACATATAGCCCAAGATAGAAATATATACAAAATCATAAAGAGACGATTACTTTTTTTTTTACATATAACAAATATCAGCAAACATTGCATGGCATATCTGTATTTTCGATAAAGTAAGAAAATGGGATCAACGTTTTAACACTTCCGTTAGGGAAACCTCAATACCCTCTAGAATGAGAACGGATGTTCAACTTGCTCTCTAACACAATTTGTTATTAACAGCAATAAAACAGTGTAACGCACTAATACTCAGCGTAGTGCATAACAGACATAACATAACATACAGCGTAATTACAATTCGCCCATATCGTAACATGTCCCGTTTACATTAACATATGTAGTGATGGATGTCATTAAACGATAGCACAAATTTAGGTTGAGTGTGCAAACCGTACCAGCACTGTATCCTTATGTACTGGTCAACCTCACAAGTACAGAATCGTGATAAACAAGATAACAGATTATTTGTAGTTGATGGAATCTGGGTGGTTCCATTTTCCATGCGTTGAACTTTATAGTGCTAAAACAAGTAGGTGTTCTCATTTTTTTTCTAATGTGGCACATTACAGCATGCCTCGGAGATATTCCAGCACTTTTTTTATTAAAAATTGTAATAAGTGGGGCTAACATAATGAACATACTTAAATCATCGGCAAACCCTTTACTAATGACTTATACTTCTGGCATGACGTCGTATCTAATATTTAAGATTAT